TGCTGTGAAGGTTGTAAATGTGGGCATTGGTTGCAAAGTTACTTTGTCATCACCATCGTAACTGTGAACTGTCGCTGTCTGAGGCAGTCGCTAAATGAAGATTACCTTTAGTCCCTTCATTAATAAATTTGTCTGTAATAATATAATAGGAAGATAACATCTCACTATGCTGTAAAAGTATTATCGCCATTCATAGCTCTCCTTTCAGTTCTTTAAGACTAGTGCTTTTTACAGGTTCTAAATATTTACTGTATGAAAAGTGACCACTGAATTTCAGTTGTTCCATAAAAGAACCTTTGAATGGAAGTGAGTATAAATCACAAACTGCTGTTTCTTTGAAGAAATATTTTTAATAAGGACTATTGGAAATAAATTGGAAAGAATAATACATTCCATTCTACTGTATGGTTAAATCTTTCATAATATCAAGCTACTCTATACACCCTTTGTTGAAGTCTTTTCTCCTTATAGTACTGTGGAATTATATAAAAATATAATAGAAGAAAGCAGCTTTGCCACAAAAGTGAGCAGTAATAAGATTCTAACAATGTTTAGATCTGTGTAAAATTGATTTTGGGGTGGATTTTCAGCCAAAGGAATACACAGATAAAGAAAACTACAGATAATAATAATAAAAAAGGAGATACTATCCCTTCAAATTTCCAGTAAACACTATACCCCATTAAAAAAAAACATACAAAAATATGAGTGCAGTGGATGTAATTTGCAGAAGAAGGTGAAATAATGATAATGTCTATATAGTAAAACAAATCTCTACTTTTTGATGAACAGACTAGCTGGAAGTCATTACAATAGCTAGGTGTTATTTTCAGTTATCATTTTTAATGTTGGAGAATTGTATAGGGAAGTTAGGAAAATATGTTGTTCAGATACCTATTTTTCTTTATATGTTGTCGCTTTAACGTGCCTCGCTTTCAGTTCAACCATTGTCATGGCCTCCTAGAGGAAAAGTCAGCCAAAAAGTGCCATTTCACAATTTCACCATCTAGGATGCACATACGTAACTGTTCTTGCTTTATTTTCAGATTGATAAGTACGCTCAGCGGGACCTGAAGAAAGGGCTTCATTTGTATGGAACTGATGGAAATATTGGTTTAACTAATGCATGGAGCATCATACAAACAGATGTAAGCGTGTATTTCTTCATTGTTCTTTCCATTAACACCGGCATGTGCTAACACCTACACACCCATCTGCCTGTCTTTGAATTTTCAATGGAGAAAATTTAATTTTGTTTTCTATAAGCATTTGCCTGAAAAATGCTTATAGAATACCACTGCACTGTATCTTACCTGTAGTCAAGGCCCTGATGCTTAATGGGTCTTTCCCCAGCCTGCTTTGAAATCTGCTGATAAGGGATTAATCTGATGCTTTGGTGCTCATCAGCATGCAGAGAGGCACACATGCAAACAGACAAAATGCATAGACAATCCCTCAAGTAATTGCAGAGCACAGGAGATACCACATTTCTATCATCATGCTAGAACACTAGTGATACTGGAAGAAGTGAGACAGAATGGCTCACTGGCACTTTTCTTCAACAGAACCTTTTTGTTTCTTTGTTTCCTCCTGTTTTGCATCCAAGGCACCGTTCAACAGGACAGGGTCAAGAGAAGGAACATAGCTGTTCTATCTATATATTTGAGAACACAGGAACATGAGGATCAGGGTTAGGCCCTTCTAATCAGCTTTCCATCTCACACAAGGCCCACCAGATACACTTAGGAAGCCCACAAATAAGAGATCAAGACAGTCTTCCTCTGGCATATGGCATGTATATATACTTCATATACTGCTTATATTGCTACAAAAAAGTAATATTTTGGTTAACATTTCCCTGAGCACATATTATTACTATATTGTTTCATTTCACAGGTCAACAAAGTTTGCATACAAATGAATCCCAAAGATTTTAGTGATTAGCAAACTCTGGAAGTCAGAAGAATGAACTTCAACAGTTTGAGGCTTTGATGTATATTAGACATTGAGACCATTTTGGTCTCACAGTTAACTTTGCCCTGGTCTCTGCCCCAGGATTGCCATACCATTTGTTTCCACTGAAATATTTTTTTACAATAAAGTTGACTACTGCTTCATAGGGTGGCAGCAATTTTATAGGTACTAATATGCTTGGGGAATGCTGCAAGCTTGATTGGAATGCAGGATCCAAGAACTCTAGAAATGTGTTTTTTCTAGAGAGCCAAAGTTCTTACTAAGGATTCTAAAACCCTTGAATCTCTGCCCTGAACTGTTTTCAGTAAACAAAATAAAAATTGTGTTGATTATGCAACAATATCTCTCTGGTTGTTCCCTTAAGAGCAGTGAGCTGTCCATTTTCTGAAAAGATGAAACTACAATTTTGAATTTAGTCATCTGGATGTATGTGAGACATCTCTATTTCTTTCTCTTGATTAAAAAAAAAATGTTTGAAATATTCCTGTTATTATGGGCTATATTTTAGGTCACCTGAATTAGTCTGTACCTTCCATTGATACTTGAAATTGCTCAAGTTTTCATACAGTTAATCACTATGTTCAAATATTGCTTTTGTAATCTTATAATAGGAATGGTTAATCACAATCCCAATGGCTTGTTTTCTTTCCAGTTGAAGAAGCTACATTGTCTGTCCAAATGCCTCTTTTACATTTGTATGGATGTACATCCTCAGTTCCAAATTGCTGTGACATGTTGCTTTGCACAAATAGAAGGCATTAATTTTATGAACACCAAGATAGAAAAAAAAATATGGAGGTAACAGAAGATTAGTGACCTGTTCACCAAGACCCAGGGGAAAATAGAAATAGAATTTAAAATATATTATAGTAATAAGACGACTTTAATTTGCTGGCACAATTAAATTATTAAGCAATGCAATTAGATTTCAGTGTTGAAATATTGATTCTGTTTGATCTCCTTTTGTAAGTACAGAAAGTTTTCTCCAGCCATGAAATAGAAGACTTCATTTCAATGAGCAGATACAACCTAAACTTTCCAACTCACAGTTTCTCTGTATGCTGTTTTTCTTAAAATACTTGTCTGAAAAATTATTAGATAGGAACTAAATGCATCTGATTCCAATATGTGATATTCTCTGAGTTTCTTTTTCTCTATGACTAATATGGTTGCGTACAATATGTCTATGTTGGCATGTAAACTGCTACACATTTTTTTCTTTTCCTGCTTTATTTGAACAAACAAAACTTCACAACAAAACTAAAAAAGTTAATATAAACCAAGACCAGGGAAAAAAGAAAAGAAAAAAAAGAAGAAGAAGAGAATATATGAATCCATATGCAGTCTTAAGTAGAAATGAAAAAGGTCTAGAGATTAATATTCCAGCAGGTGAAAGCAAACTAGGGGGAAAATATTAATACAATCAATAAATGGTGATCAGATTTAAATAATGTTTCCCTTCATTGTAAGTTTTCCCAGGACTCTTTGTGTGTGCCTTTGTATGTGTGTTAATTTTTCAACCAACACAATTTCCTACAGTTATAAGTGCCAGTGTCCAATCAAAAGTATATTTAATTTTCTAATGTTTTGTCATAACCAACATAGCCCCAAATAACAAGAATTGAATCAATGTCTTATGTTGCATCAATTTATATGCCAGGAAATACAAATAATAATCTAACAACAGGCTTCATTATGAAAATCTGTTGAATTATTTTCTCCTAATTTCTTCAAAAACTTTCATCTAAATTGACCAATTGGGCCTTGCCATCAGAAATGTTAATATGTTAGAATTTGTTTGCCTTAATTTGCTATGGCCTGGATGCTCAGGGTTATTTTAAACATATCTTCAATTCAGCCTGTGCTTAATGTGTCCAAAGCAAAACCACCCCCACCTTTTATCTCAGATAAGTTCAGAAGGTCCTTTCCCTTCAAACTGGAAATAGCCCGGTTTATTTCAATCCAATTAAGGGCCATTCTCTGATGGAGTCCCATTGTATTGTTTATTTTCTCCCCTCCCCTGTACAATTAAAATCCTGAACTGGAGAAGAATTGCAGACAGCTTGTGATGCTTACCTATTTTCAGGCTAAGATTATGAACCACAAATATTCACATTCACAATCAGTTCATTGTGAGACTTGACTAGTTAATAAATAACATAACTGCCTTGGTATCTCTACAGAGGAAAGAGTCCAATTTCCCATATATATCTAAGTATACTTGGAGACAAGATCAAAGATTTGCTGCTTCTCGCATTTATCCTCCTTAGTCACTTCTGCCACAGGAAACTTGCTTTGGGCAACATTTGAAAATAGAGCTATGTAGAGCTTTTGCCTGTAGTTGCTTCCGAAGGGTTGGAGGGCATAGTTTTGTACATGAAGAAATTTACTTGCATTTGGACAAGGGGCAAGGTCCTTTAAAAGTGTGAAACAAAAATAATGCAGGAGCTTCATAATTTCCTCATTTTTCTCAGCCTTAAAGCAAAAAAACACGTTGGACCATTTGGAACAATTTGGAATGCTAATTTGCCAGATATATGTAGATTCATGTGCAAGTAGGCAATTAAAATTTCCAGCCACATTATAATTTAAGAGTTGCAGAATCAGAATTGTCCCACAACCCAACACCACAGTAATTGTTAGCTGTCCAGAGTCATATGTATGAGATGGGCAGCAATATATGTATGTATGCATGCATGCATGTATGTATGTATGTATGTAATGAATAAAGAAACCCACATTCAGTGGATGCTGCTCATTAGTGAAATACTACTGTATATGGTCCCAAGGGTGGCATATCTGAAAGCAATCTATGGACTCACCTTCCCAGTTGCACAGTGTGATTACATTTTTTCAGCTTTGCACAGGAGATCTCACAAAAGGATCTTGAACTCCTACAACAATCTACAGATTTCTCACTTTCTTAAAACTAAGATTCGCATCCACGTGCTGAATAGCTGCAATGGAAGATATATAAATCAACATTTAACACTCTGCTATTTGGAAAACTTGGCTGCCTGCAGTCTCAATTTCCAGATCATGACTTTATTACTAAATGTCAAAGACAATTTCAAAGCAGAGCATATATGAATTTGAAGCCACTCATCTTTACAAAATATAATAAAACATGTGTCATTGCTGTAACCTGAACAGTTTTTGGATGGTAATAGCATACTCAAAAAATAATATGACTGCACTCTGTACTGCTGATAATATCATGTTCTTATGGCAAACAATTTTCTGAGTCATGTTTTCCTTTCTTTTTTAAAAAAAGTGCCAAGGAGAAGCAATGGTGAAAATATTTTTCTTGGCTTTTTTCCCCATTTTAGTTCTCCTCACTTTTGTTGTAAAATGCATGGATCTTGATAACATGTTTTATTTAGTTTCCACACAACTGAAGATTAGTTCTGTTGCTGTTCTGTTGTACAAAGATGGGACAGGACTCCTCCAGCTTCTGATATATCTGCTTCCTTCAGTGACTCTCCAAGCCATGTTGAATTGTTGGGAGCATTTCAGAATGACTAGGATTATGGTGATTATTTTAGGCAAAGCCATTTTTTTTACTCTTTTTTCCCCCCATATATACTATACTCCCATGGAGTGTCTGAAGGGGTATAGTATATCTGGAAGCAAAGTGATCTTCCTCTTATCTAACAGTTATCCATTGGTTGTTGATCTGTTCTGATATTACAATGGATGTAAAGAGACATAGGGCTTTCTGATGACCCTGGGCTCTCTGCTCTGGAATAACAAAGGAACTGAGTAACCAATACAGGTAGTCCCTGCTTAACGACCATTTGTTCAGTGACTGTTTGGAGTTACAGCATCACTGAATTAATGGTATTTATGACCAGTCCTTGTAGCTATGGCTGTTGTGGAGCCCCTGCAATCATGTGATCAAAATTCAGGTGCTTGGCAGCCTGCTTGCATTTATGACCACAGGGTGCACTTCAACTTCCCCTACCCACCTATCTCCCCCCATCTCTGCCCTTTTGGCCACCCTTCCCTCTGCCCTGCACCCCCACTACCCTACACTCCACCGCCCCTGCTGTCCCTTGCTGCCCCTCACCACCCCCAGGTGACTTTGCCATCTTCTTGCTCCCACTGCTGATGAGCACACCTGGCCTGGCCCTTTACAAGGCCTTCCCAAAGCTGTGCGAGGCCTTCCTGAGGCTGGATGTGGCCAGCATCTGCCTTGCGAAGGGCCAGGCCGGACCTGCCTTGTCAGCAGCGGGAGGAAGATGATGGCAAAGTTCAACTGGCGGTGGTGAGGGGCAGCAGGGGTGGCAGAGTGCAGGGTGGTGAGGGTGCAGGGCAGAGAGCAGGGCAGCAGGGGAAGCAGAGTGCAGGGCAGCCAAAAGGGCAGAGATGGGGGGGAGATAAGTGGGTAGAGGGAGTTGAAGCAGAGGTGAGCATGGCAGGGCAGGAGAAACATGAGGTCCTTGTCTAACAACCACAACTGGGACCAACGGAACTGCTGTCCCTAAGCAGTGCCATCATGTGATGTTTCCCCCAACAACCACCTCACTTAGCAATGGAAATTCTGGTCCCAATTAGGGTAATTAAGGGAGAACTATCTGTAATAGACTTGGGAGACTCTAACTTTCTCAGGTCAATTAGCTAATTTTTGGAAATTTGCATAATGTTTTAATCCTAAGTGAATGAACTTTATTAAAAGATATTGTACTTCCCCTTTCTGGATGGGCAATCCAGAAGACGTACACCTTCTGCCATGCTGGGCCCACTAAACCTGTTCCTTGAATGGGCCACGTGGCCAAGGTGACTTGTAATTCTCTTATTCCCCTCCAGTTCAGATGCTGTGGTGTCTCCAACTACACCGACTGGTTTGAAGTGTACAATACCACACGGGTGCCAGATTCATGCTGCTTGGAATTCAGTGAAAACTGTGGTCTTCATTCCCCAGGGACCTGGTGGAAAGCTGTGAGTAGTTAAAATGTAAATCAAAAGTCAGCTAAGATGGCCTGGAATTTTTAGAATCTACTGGAGAAAGAAAAATGTCATAGCCTTGCCCATTTGCTACATGCTGTTGTGCCATCCTGCGGGGTGATTAACATCTATCAGAAAGGCTATTCTAACTCACTCATCATAGCTTGGCATACTTCTCAGACAACCAATCAAGAGAAGAAGGCTTTTAATAAGTAGTTCACCTTTAAATGTTAGAAGGGGAAGTAAAAGCACAGAGCTCAGGAATGTGAGTGAAGGCAAGAGTGTGCAACTTCTGGTAATCTAAAGGTTGCACATGCTTTTGAAAGGCACAGAGAGGGATACACTTCCAAAGCAGGCAGGCCAAGGTAAAATGGAGAGGGTCATTTTAATTAAGGAAAATATAAATAGACAAGTGCAAGATATACTCTTTACAAATTCACATGCAAACATAACACAAAGGAAGCAAGGATATACAGTATCATGAGGAGCAAAAGGAGCCAAGCGTGGAATAAAAACAGATGGCAAAGGGCACAAGGATGGGCAAGGAATAAAAAGCCACTTGCTGAGCAAGTGCGGAGCAGAGCAGGGGCAAAAGGAGGATGGTGCAGGGATCAAAGGGAGAGAGAGGAGACTGAACAGACAGATTGGAAAAGGGAGAGTGAAAGGAGGCAACAGGCAGTGAAAGGAGATTTGGGGGATGAAATGAGGTGGTGGTTCATGGGGAGGAGAGCCCAGGGATGGCAGAAGAAGCTTTATTTTGCATTGGTGGTTCCCTCCCCCCCCCCCCCGTTTTATTCTTCCTCAAGTGGCTTCCTTCACCGCATGTATGTGTGCAGACCGCCATCTTTCAGGGTTGCTTTAATATGGATTTCTGCATCTAACAGGAGGTTGGACTTGAGGGCCTTGTTGGCCCCTCCTAATCCTTTGAAACTGCCCCTTTCCCTCAGTTCAGCACCAAGTTGATGAATAGACAGCAAGGTTATTTTGAAGTATCTTTGAAAGGAATTATAAAGGCAGAATAAAAATGCAAAATAAGCAGGAGCAGAGGCCCTAACAGAGCCTCTCTAAATGTTTTATGATCACTAATTTGAATTGCTACAACAACTAGCAGCCACCTTAAATGGCAGTGGCTAATATATAGTAACCTATTAGCTAACTCCTTGTACTTGTTTTTCCCACAACAATATTTGCTGAATATTGATAGTTGTATGAAGAAAAATACCCTTGTTATATAGAGTAGGATTTAGAGTAGCTACTCCATAAATAAAAATGCTGCTTTGACTGGAACTAAAGGTTCTGTGGAGGAGGAAAGGGAGGGAATAGCTGTTTTCTCTGATTATGCCTTTCCTCCTTGGATCCCAGAATCCTCTTCAAATATTGTTTTGGGGTGGAGGTTCCTTCTTACATGTGTGTGTGTGTGTGTGTGTGTGTATAAAAGATCCAGAGAACTGCAGCACTGAGACAGAATTTCACTCAGTGAGTTGTAGGGTCAAACTTGTACATCTTGCAGAATGTCCCCAAGATGACACCAGGAAGCACAAAAACATGACTTTACGGTATGAGACAATGCTGCCTAGTTTATGTTGCCAGTTCAGGAGATTACATACCCAGCATCCAGTCTGCAGAGGTGGCTGACCCTATACCAGCATTTCTCAACCTTATCAACTTTGAGATGGGTGGGCTTCAACTCCTGGGAGTTGAAGTCCATTCATCTTAAAGTTGCTGAAGTTGAGAAACCCTGACCGTGATAATCACTGCGGAAGCAGCTCTGATGAAATAATCAGTCCATAACAGTTTTCTACAGGGGAAAAAAAGCAGCATCTTTCCTAAGAAACATTCCTGCCATTGCAGAGAAGGACTCTGGCATCCATCCAGGAGTGCAAAAAGGTACCAGGTCCGGAGTGTAGTTTGAGTATGGGCTTGGAGACTCAAGCTCAACCACACCCTTGGCGGGCCAACTCAACCAGTTACCTTATGCTGAAAAATATGTCCAAGGTGATCCGTCACAGGAATGTATCAAAACTAAATTAAATTCTGCTGTTATTCAACTGTTATTCTTAAAACTATTTCTTTTGTGAGCTAGCAAATCCTTCTAGGAACCTATCAGTGCTAAGGTTTGACATACTGACAGCGGGACTAATATGTTTGCACCAAATGTAATGTCATCTTGCCACTTTGTGGTTCCTACAAAGCAAGGTGAAGTATTTGGGGACAGCTTTGTTTTGTTTAAGCAATAATTGGCCTATAATTGCCTTCTCACATTCTTGCCTTGCCTTTCTGTTTCAAGCACTATGATTTACTACTGGATTTAGAAATGCAGCGGCCTGATTTGGAATGCCTAAATGAGAAGCAGACATTGTTCTTCTTTTTTTTTTTGGTTAATGAATCTTGCACAAAGTATCCACTTGATCTTCAGCTGTGCAGCCTTTCTAGGTCTTTAAAGCCGTATTTCATTGCAAGAAAGTCCCCTGAGATACTTTTCACCTCCACTGGAAAGCTTAAATTGACATTGCCGATTACCAAGTTTGATATGACTTGTAGGTTCTACTTACATCTTTTGCTTCCTTATAGCAAAATATTTTTATCTCTCTCTAGCCTTGCTATGAAACAGTGAAACTATGGCTTCAGGAGAACCTGTTAGCAGTGGGAATTTTTGGATTGTGCACAGCATTGGTTCAGGTAAAATTTCCCTTTATTTACCTGAGTGCTTCTGTTTATATTAGCACAGTGACAGATAAATCTCTTCTCAAAAGGAAATTCCATTGACTTTATTCATTGATAAATGGGTACAAGATTATAGCCTACGTATCGGGCCTGCAAGAAGATTGATCTAAAGAGAAGTTGTCTTTCTCTTTGAATGCTGTTTTGTTTCGTCCTGCTTATGTGCATATATACATGCAAACATCAACAAGTCATGGCTGTTTAATGATCTTTCTTTGGTTTAACTAGAGTATCTGAAGATATAAAATGGCAATGGTTTCTATATAAAGTTGGTTACGCTTAAGTTAATGGGGGAGAGTAACTGACTTATTGTGCCTTAGCCTAAAGTACAGGAGATCCCTCATAATGAATTTTTATTTGGCAGTAGGCCTGTTCAATAATTAGCACATTTTTACTTGATCACTTCACTGCCTCTTATACTTTAAATCTTTTCCTCCAATCCCCAGAAAGTTGTTCTGAGATCCTACGAAAAGTATAAAGCTGCTTAAAATTAACAAACAAGAACTAGGATGAAAAACCGCTTATTGTACCACATTTGAGCCAAAATAGGCATATATATTGTTAACTTACAGCCCCAGCAATTTAAACTTATCATCACCATTTATAACTAATCCTGTAGGGTTAAGATTTTTTTTTCACCCTTTCCAAATTAATGTCACAGTTTAATACAGAATTAAGCAAGGTTAATCCTGTTGAAATCAGTGGATTTAAGTATGCCTAACTCTCTAGAATGAAAGTAGAGGAAATATATTTCTACTTTACAATTCTCTGTTATTTTTATACCTGCTTAATTGTCATGGTTTTCCCAGAAAGTTGTAGAAACTGAAATCTAGATACAGAACTAGCTATTCTTTATTATAGATCCATAACATGCCTCTGAAGATTTCAGTTCCCAGGATTTCTCAGCTAAAGGAAGTACCATACGTCAGCCTTTCTGTAGCACACAGTCTTGTGCAGACTACTTACAGTAGTTTCAGTAAGAACAAAGCTATAAACCATAATGGATGCACACAATCATAACTTTGCACAGAGAAGAGGAAAAAGGAGGACCAGTTATGCAGCACAAGTCCTTACTTCTTCTGTGCAGGGACAAAAGACTGAGGAGAGAGCTTGGCAGGCAGAACATGGAGGGTTCAGCTGATCTTTGGTGATGGCTACAGATGGAGTCAACACCCAGCCTAATGATTGCCCCCTAAATACCTTTTTCCCTAGACAGAAAGTCTGGGGGGGGGGGGGGGACAGGATGGGCAAGCAACAAGAATGGCATAGACAGCCAGGCTAGATAAAAGTAGAAAGAAGGGGGCCTTTTGCACCTCCTCCAATTATCTGATTTATAGATTGTTTTTCACCAATATTGAATAAAGCTTTGGTTGAGTTATAATCCAGGTTTCTTTCCTCCTTTTTCTTTCTGATTGCAAAGACATTTCATAACTGTCCTTCAGCTTCTCATGTAGGTTAGCTCCAAACTGTTGATTATGCAGGGCTGTTTTGCATGGAATTGATATACAATGGGCGGCATGGGAAATGCATTATTCCTTCTGGATCAATAGTTTGCAACTGTACATATAATTGAGATTGTACAAGAATTGAGATTATGCTGCATGCTGTTAATCTTGACAATGATTTTTGTATCTACAGATTCTTGGACTGACATTTGCAATGACCATGTATTGTCAGGTTGTCAAGGCAGATACCTACTGTGCATAAAAAACATCTTTAGAGTCCGTCAACCACCTCTCCACAAGACGAAAGAGAGAGGACTCTTCATCATGTTGTCATATTTTTTCTATGTAAAATAAACTGTATAATCCTCTATGGAAAAATTGTGGATCACCCCAGTTTGTCACACCACTCAAAAGGAATCATCATGGAACTCAGACTTGCTCAGACAAAATAAATTCTTCTCTCTAAATGACAAGAAAACAAAGAAAGAAGTGGCTCCCTTTTGCACAGACTATGGTTTAGTTCGAGGCTGAGTTTAATCTTGTTTTCCCTGCAGGCTGCTGACAAATAGAAATGTTCCATCTAGCACAGGGAATCCAGTAAATTCCTCAAAGTACAGACAGCCCTTTCTCAAGATGGATATAGAGGATATGGAGTAGCCATTTCTTAACATTTGGTTTTAGACAGCTTAGCACATCAGCCCAGGAGTATGCTTTGGACTCTCAAAATTGCATCACGGAATGAGAGGTCTTTGGGGAAAGCCTCTACTCGAAGAAGTGGTTTCTGATGTCAGGTCAGATCTGGCCTGTAAACAGAAATGGAATCTTTACGCTTAAACCAGTGTAACAGCGTTCAAATAATGATGTCTGCATACATCCATATCCATATACACACACAGATCATTCTAGCAGCTGCTGATAGGAGCAGAGCAGTCCTCTCTTCCTTTGTATTCCAAGGGACCATGGAGACAAATGGAAATATTTCCTGGGGAAGAAATTTAGGCCACCAAGAAACAAGCAGTTACATCAAACAGATCTACTCTTCAGTGAATAAGTAGCCACCTTTCTGTCCCTGTCCTCTGGATTTTCTTTTAAGTGTCATTCCAGTTTTGGTGTCCCATGTGTCATTCGTTTCTGTACTTCAGCTCTTCGCCTTCTCCATAATTTGCTTTGTCGTATTTTCACTTTTAAATAGGATAGATTCACTAGGAAAAAAGCCCACTCTGTAAACATGCTTTGTAGCTGATTTTTAAGGAACCAAATTATTCCAAGAAGGAATTGGGAGGTTTGAAGAAATTCCCCACTAACAAAAAAGATTTTACACAGACATTCATTTCCCTGTTTCTTTTCTCTGCATTAATATAGATGAAAGAACATGTAGGGAAATGTTTTCAAGTACATTCCCATCACTGCTTACCAGCATAGGCTAGTGAGAGGCCAGCATAGACTACAAGAAGTTCCAGAATATTTGCCCTCCATCTCAACAATGAAGGTTTAGATCAAGACGCTTGGTGGGTCAGCTCTCTCTGTCCTGCTGTAATAAATAATATATGATCAAAAATGAGTGGGTAATCAGTGTAGGTGAGCACTAATAAAATTGTGCATGCTGACAGAGGATTGACCAGACTTAGAATGCATAGTTGTAAGCCAATATTGAAAGAGAAACAATATACCATTAAATCTGTGGCAGTCATAACTGAAATTGGCCTTGATCATGAATATGTTGTCCATGATCTTAATATCCAAGTAGAATTTGAGATAGGTGTGTATGTATTATTATTAATCCACTCAAAAAAGTCAGTTCTGCTCAAAAAAGCTAATGGACTTAATTCAGTCCTTCCCTTTCTTTCTACCCTTTTACATACAGTAGGTCACTGTTTATTTTGTCAGTAATGGAAGACAATAGAGCCAGTTTGGTGTAGTGGTTAAGGCCCCAGGCTAGAAACTGGGAGACCATGAGTTCTAGTCCCACCTTAGGCACAAAGCCAGCTGGGTGGCCCTGGGCCAGTCACTCTCTCTCAGTCCTAGGAAGGAGGCAAGGGCAAATCACTTTGAAATCTTGCCAAGAAAACTGTAGGGACTTGTCGAGGCAGTCACCAGGAGTAAAAAAACTGACTCAAAGGTACCCTCCCCCCCAAAAAAGAAAGACAAGAACATGCAACCCTGTGCTGAGGTCTGTAGGTTTTATACAAGTTATTTTCCCCCTATTTAGCATTCATAGCTTTTTGAAGTATATAGGAATGAAAGTCTGCAACTGCAAAAGGAGGGTCAACATATAAATCAAGGTTATCCGTGTCAGTAAAACCTATTACCCTTCTAATGCTGGATGGGCACTCAGCCTCCAGCTTAAATCAGATGGATGTACACAAAGATAGTTTGATCAGAGATGCGGATGAGCTCTGTGTTCTTGAAATGCATCTCATAGGATAAAAGTGTGTAAGGTCCATTTGATGCATCTCCGTAGATAGAATTCTAATAGGAACTACAATTGCAAACTGCTTGCAGTCCAGAAATAAAGCAGAATACACATGCCCAGATCTATGACAAATCCTGTTTTATCCCAACTTAACTGCTCTTCCTGTCCTCAAATAAGTTTCAAATTGAATTCTAGTGAAGGGCATATACTGAACACTGTTTTAAAATAACCGATATGTCCCTCTGCAAAACTAAAGTTTCATGATTCCATGCAATGTGGGGGCGATCTGTTTTTTTAACTTACACCTGACACACATATTTGAAGACAAAGCAGCCAATTTAGGGTACAGTATAATCCATTTGAACTATATAAATAGCTTCAGTACAAACTTTTAATATACAAAGAAAGAACATGAAATGTGATAATATCTTGACTGTGACAGGGAATCTAGAATTTTCTTACCATTTTCTGTAAAGAAGCACTACCTTAGGGCTATCATTCAAAAGAAGAAGAAGTAGAGGTTAAGATTTGAACCCTGGCTCAGCTGGTGTCCATGCTCTAGAGTTTATCAATTAACATATTGCTTACCATATTCATGCTTGAGTGAAGAGTCATAAACAGTCCAGCAGCAGCCAATTATGGGAAACATGTACAAATTCCTATTCCACCCTGCAGTTGACTCTTTTGCTTTCTCTTCTCTTATTAAATGTGCATGCAATGGATGATTGTGACTTCAAGCAATAATTTATATGTTGTTTTCCAATTCTTTTGTGGATTTTGCTTCTTTCCTCTACACAGGAATAAGAAGCAACTTTGAAGTTCCATTGCTGTTACTCATCATTATACATTACCATTGACTGTATGACAAGTACACCTACTGATAGCTTCTAGATTCCCATCTCTGAAGAACAGTATCATAGAACAATGAAGATATGAATAAAAGATGGGTCCTAAAAATAAAAGATGGGTTCTAAAAAGATTAAAGACAGACTAAATCTACTCCCAGAAATCCCCATTATTACAAATTAAAGCAGTAGTTCTGGTGACTCAGCAGAATTACTCACAGAAATTAAGTCATGGAAGTGAGTAGGATGGGAGAATCCCAGCAGGCAGTAGGGTTAGAGTTAATCATTTCATAATACGGATTCAAAAAGGAAGAAACTAATAACATAACCCAATGACATAAACAATAACCGCAAAGACCTTCTGAATTCTACAGAACAAACAGTAACATGCGTATCATAGTTTGGAAATGTAGATGAATTGCCCTGCTATATATTTTGTGCATCCTGGCCATTCATTGCGAAGATGGAGGCATTGCTGTTTCCACACCATCACACCAAGATAGGTGGGCTTCATGCTTGTTGAATCTTTCTTTCTGTTGAGAAGGCCAAGATAGTTCTAAGCTTAGGATTTTATTTTCAGTACCCAAACTGAACCAAGCTAGTAATGTTTTCGTATTTAATCTTATTATTTATTTTCTAAGTTCATAGGCTGTTTTAATCACTAAGGGCATTTGAAAGGCCACTTCTTGATCTCTAAAGCTTGCTTTGTTTCAGGAGATTAATTTTCATGGAAAGACTGTCTTGTTGCTATTGTTAAATTATTGGAACCTCTTTTCAGTATACTGTAGGTCACCTAGATACCTAGCAACAGATTCTAACCTCCCTTTCTGCACACCTGCAATATAAACAATTCAACACCTACTGAGTAGCACTAACCTTAAAAACACCATCATGTTAGTAATTTTAAGTATCTTCCTAGGAAGCCTGAATCACCATCACGTTATCCAGGGAATATGTTGCTCTCTTTGGTTCACAGGATACTGTCATGATGAAGGTAGGCGCTGAAAATCCAAGGAGCATTGTTACATAACAATGCACTTACAAATATTTCTTTAAAGCTGATAAAAGAAAGCGTACAGGGCAGAATGCAACATACAGAGTCTTTTACTTTAAAATGAAAGGAACTAAGGCTGTATACCTGGGGAATTACTTGCTTATCAGAAGCTTCCTCCTCATGCAGGTTGGAAAACCTTGGTGCTAAAGCAAATACTGACTGCCTGTAACACAGAAACCAGACAAATTTAGAAAACCACCACCAGCCATCAAACCAGATACCAGTGACTTAACACAATGGACTACTATATTCTCATTATGCTTCATTAAACGGCCACTCAAATCCCTGTTCAATGGTTTTCTTTTTAGGGACAGAAAATAATTTAGTGCCTGAATAAGCAACAGTAAGCAATTCTTACAAGTCCACAAGAAACAAGGCAATGTTTGTGATACTTTACTAGCTCTTTAGTGACATGTGTATTTCACGCAGCATTCAAGAAGCCAGTGCAATTCCTTTTCTATATTATAAGCACAGGGCTTTTAAACATACAACATGACCAAAGCCATTTAGAATCACATGTGAAGCCTGCCCCTAAAGATACAGGTTTGGGTCCAGGGTGCTTAATTTCTGTTTCATGTCCCAAAGACTTGTGGTAATCCTATTAAAGTCAATGCAAATTAGGGATGTGAGTTTATATTTCTGTCTTACTTGCTAGGAATGTGTCTTTTGTCTACTGTGAATATTCCTAAAATGATGTGTGCTTTAATATACTGTAAAATAGCTATTAATAGCTACCTGGTTTTGTTACCTATTTTGGGGGGGGGGTGGCTAGGAGAAAGAATATTCAGCACAAATTAAATAATAGGTTTCTAATTTACAATATGGTTTTTCTTGTACATTATATTAGGATTTCTCTTTCAGTTGGATAGCTGATTTGCCGTACTAAAAAGGTACATTTGCCACATATGCTATGGAAGAATATGCACCTTAGAAATAGGAGCATACAGATTTCTTTAAAATAGTGCAATGATGTTGCTGATAGCACAAATTAACTCCCAGGACTTTTCCAGCCAACACAACCACCAGCAATGGCATCAGGAGGGCACCAGGAAAGACTAGAGTTGGGGCAAGTTGGTACTCCCCAGTTCTCCTGAACTACAACCTTCATGCTGGTGGAATATTGGAACTCAAGGCATCCAGAAGCACCCAGTTAGAAAAAGTTGGGTTGGAGTTTCATAATAATGTAATAAGATTCTGCTTAAACAGCATCAGAACAAGAGTGTATAGCAATCCAAGTTTTTAAAACTCCACAAATGACATGTAAATTATTCAGTGGATGTCCTGCATGAAGTCCCATAGAACTTAGTGGAATTTACTCCCCAGAACTGATGCACAAGACTGCAGCCTTCATATCTTGAAAGCTGTTTTCCAGATTATATCAGGCAAACATGAGTTTGCTACAGTGGATGCCCTTGACAAAAGCTCAACAGTAGGTGTGACATATCATCAATCCATCCCTGGCTTTATCCTCCACGTTTTTTAAACACAAAAAGCAGCTACAAGAAAACCATGGGGTAGGAGAAAGACGCTGCCATTTCCTCGTCAGCTATTTTCTTTCTTTCAAAGTGCCACCCCAAATGTTTTTCTTCTCAGCATTATCCACTCAATGTACCCTCTGTAAGAAAATCTGTTTAAGATAGAAGCACATTCTGAGCGAGAAGGAATATGAATGGCTTTTCTCTCTCCCTGATCTCCACTGCCGCACACACACTGGTCACTCCTTCAAATGTGCGACCTCTCACATCTGAAAACCCAACAAAAACAAGACCCAGGCAAGTCACCTATTCAGATACAAGTCACATCCAGTTTAGGTCAGAGATTTGCAGCAATCATTCACACGTGGCTATGTATATATTTGCAAATCATTTGGTATTTCTAGATGAGCTCATGGAAACGATATCAAACATAACATGAAGAATTCCCAAAGTCCTAATGAGGATGTGAGAGTTTGGAGCGCCTTGGTATCTCCATTTTACAGTTTTGTAAATGTTGCTCTCCATTTTACAAAACGTTTTTATTATGTGGCTCTACTTCTTTTCATATTCCAGTTTTAATATAACTTTTTTTTAATGTTACCTGTTCCTGTTCATTGTAGCTTTTCTTGGTTCCTTGGGTATTCTTGCAGCAGCAAAAAGGAATGGTATATTTTCATGCACCTCATAGGAAAATAAAGCTATACATTATTTTTTAAAAGCTTATTAAATATTCTTTAAAGTTTACAGCAGATTGTGTTTTGTATTCTTTAATATTTCTGTATACAATAATACTAATACTCTCTTACTAAAAAACACTTTCAAGTTACATTTATGTGGGGGAAGTACACAGCACATTTTCTCTATATTCATTTTATTCCTATTTGTGTGATGGGGTGCTACAATAATTAGTATTGTTTTGTATGAGGTCAATTTTTCATTAAAAACAACCTGCTGCAATTCAATTTTTTGGCTTAAAAATTACACAACTTGGGTTACTGCACTTACATGAACCTGTAAGAATTTGTTTACACCTTTGAATAAAATTGGTTTGGAACTTCTCTGGCCCGCTCTGGTGCTGACATTTATATGGTTGCATATGTGCTATATGTTCAATCAAACGTTCAGAAGTTTGTGGTTTTAATATATGCATAACTGAATAATTCAGGAACTTAATATAATTA